TTTCACTTTCTGGGGAGTGACTGGTGATGTGACCCACTGGTCAAATCGTTCTTCAGGTCATTTGAAGAAGAAGAGATTGGATTGATACCCTGCCCTTCACTCGAAGTCTCAGAGTGGCTTACAAACTCCTTTCCCTTCCCCTCCCCACAACAGACACCCTGTGAGGTAGGTGGGGCTGAGAGAGTTCTTTCCAGAACTGTCCTTGAGAGAACAGCTCTGACCAGAACTATGGCTTGCCCAAGGTCATCCAGCAGCTACAAGTGGAGGAGTGGGGAATCAAACCCAGTTCTCCCAGGTAAGAGTCTGCACACTTAAGCACTACACTAAACTGGCTCTCAGTTTGGCTGCCAGTTTGGAGATTTCCTCTCCCTGCTGCGTTTCTTGACCCCGCATTTCCGTTCTATGTGCTATTTGTAAGGTGACATTCAGGCTAACTTTGCCTTGGGCCATTGGCCAGCCTGGAAAGCCAGTCGGTCAGAAAACTGAAAGAGCTCTGTCTAGCTTTTTTAAAAAAACAAAACCCTGCTGTCAGGTAGCCAAGGGAGAAGAGTTAAGCCCATCAACCTGTGTGTCTGATTTATCTTTGTTGCAGGGGTGGTCTTTGTTGGAAACCCATCCTCCGCTGGAAACACATCCTCCGCTGCAAGGGAAAATGAGGAAAAGGAAAGGAAAAAAAAAGCAACTGGAAAGCCATTTCTGCAGCTGGAAACTACCCAAGAGGGAAAAGGGGCGGGTGGGGAACCGAACGTGATACGACCTGCATGTTAGAGACAGTCTCTCGTAGCCTCCCCTTCCTCTCTTCCTCCCTCCACGCTCCACTCCCACGTGGGTTTCTCCAGAAGAGCCAGCACGCTACCAACTGCAGACCTGCATCGATCCTTCTCTGGGACTCTTGAAAACCAACCACCACTCTGGCACAGTTAAATTCCCTCTTTCGCCCAAAGAAGCACCGTTGCTTGGAAGAACACTGCACTCGGATAGAGAGCCCTTAGCCAGTCTCAAAGGTGCAGGCGACGGATTTTTAGGTTTTTACTCCTTGCGAACCCTTCCGTAACAAATAAGAGGGACTTGGGGTGTGTGCAGTATGCGTGTACTATTATTACTATTATTATTATTTTAAGAAACAGCTTGTCACCTTTTGCTGACTCTTCTTGGCACTTGTGAGCCCAGGGTGTGTTTGGGACTCTCACGCCATTTGTTCTTTCTCTCTCCGTCACCAGCGTGCAACGCAGAACAGCCAGTCGGAGGACCTCATGAAAGGATTTTGTGATCATGTGTGTTGGGGAGGGGGGCAGCCAGTCCTGGGGGTGGGGTGATAAATAGTAAAGACCGTTTTTCTGTGACTTTGAACACTGGAGCATTCTTTCCTTTTTTTCGTTGTTGTTGAAAAAAGGACTCTTGGTTGTAGTACGAGGGACTGTGTGATTAGGGATTCTTTACAAACTAATTGGAACAGGAAGGTAGGTAGGGTGAGTCGACAGCTCCCATTTAGGATTTTAAAAAGAGATTTCTCATTATTTTTGCATGCTTGTGATGGGAGGGTGGTTAGATGCAAGCTTCTGCAGAAGATGGAGAGTCACTCGGATCTTCGGCAGACCAGTTGCTTTACAACTGACAGAGGATGGTTAAATTATTTGGGACCCAGTAGGGTCCTTCAGGTCATTCTTGTGGCAGAAATGATGACTCCTGTGAAGTTGGGGGTTATGGCAAGAGCAGGGCTGGCCCTTGCTTATTCTGCACCCTAGGCAGGATCCCTTCTAGCGCCCCCCCCCCCGTAATGCCAGTAGCTCCCGCCAGTGATGGAG